ACACTAGTTGTATTATAGCACTCCAATTCACACCTGTGTAGCTCGGTGTGTAAGTTTTTTCAATATAAATCCCTTTTTTAGGGGCTTAGGAAACAGGCATATAGATTTGCTACAGTGCAAATACACCATACATTTGCCACCACTACATTTTTTAGATTAGAGGGGAAAAAGTGTCAAGTTTATAATTTTGTGTGAAATAGGACTGCTAATTTAAGATACTTTCAGCACTAATAACAGCTTTCATTTTAAACTCCGTAATCCATATAACTAAACTTCTTTCCTCCTACATGATTACTTTTAAAAATTAATACATCATAAGAGTCTTAAAAGGTGACTTCTTGCACACAAAAGCAGCATGAGTTTATTGAGCCAACACATGGACAAACTGACCTAATAGACTGGAATGGTTACAGCCACAGGATCATTAAACCACGAAAGAAAGATTTACATGCTAATGACTCTCCTAGAGAACTCACTACATACTACTGATCAAAAATCCATTTTAAAATAAATTCCTAAATACAATTTCAAAAATACCTAGGAATCTCAAAATGTTTACCCATTAGAACATAATGGGCCCTCTGGAACTATTACTGAGATGCAAAAACATAATTGTACTTTTTTAGGGTATCTCTTTATGAAAAGTCATTTACAAAACCATTTAACTATGAGCATTACCATTTGGAAAAATCAGTATATGGGAAAATAAACCAGAGATAGGTTAGGCAGCTTCTTTCTTTACTTCAGTAGGAATTGCCCCAAATTCACAGATACACAGCAAATGACAGTTCAGGTTTTTCAACCACATGAAGGTAGGGGGGTGGGAATCCAGTCCTGAACTGGCATGAGGATTAAAAGAGATTGAGAAAGGTTAATCTGCTTACTTTTTTTCTTGGAATAGAAACAAAATAATAATTCTGAAGGACCTAAAAACAGAAAACAAGGAAATGACACAGCATGACATTTAATATAAAAATAGGCAATGTTCTTTAAAAAAAATTACAAGTGAAAAATCATTGCTAAAACAAAACCAGGATAAAATACTGCAGGTTGCAAAGAGATCTGAAACTTCTAATCACAAGTCCTCTCTTGTGCTAATGAAAAAAGGCACATAACTATGTAACACTAACAGCCATTGCCCAGCACTCTTCCTCCCTATTTCCCACTCACACAAGTTGTGGAAAAAAGACTTGCAATTGGCTACAGCTTCTTCCATGAGAGCCTGCTTCTCCCATGGGCTGGCCACGGGCTGCTGCTCATTCACAGAATCACAAAATATTAGGGGTTGAGAGGGAACTCGGAAGATCATCTAGCCCAACCCCCTTGCTAGAGCAAGATCACCTAGACCAGATCACAAATACATCCAGACAGATTTTGAATGTCTACAGAGACTTCACAGTCTCTCTGGGCAGTCTGTTCCAGTGCTCTCTTACCCTCATAGTAAAAAGTTTTTCCTTGCTGAACCCCCTGTTTTCCAGTTTGTGACCATTGCCCCTTGTCTTATCACTAGATACCACTGAGAAGAGCCTGGTCCCATCCTCCTGATCCCCACCCTTTAGGTATTTATAAGCATTTATGAGATCACACTTACTCTCCTCCAGGCTGAACAGACCCAGCTCTCTCAGCTGTTCTTCATATGGCAGATGCTCCAGTCCCCTAATCATCTTCATAGCCCTGTGCCAGACTCTCCCTAGTAGTTACTTGTCCTTCATGAACTGGGGAGCCCATTCAGGGCATATCCACGTGCTCAGGCATTTTCTCACACTTCCAAAGCACTGTACAGCATTTTCCTCTTTCTTAAATACATCTTCCTAGAAGCATCACATGCTTTACTGATGGGCTCAGCTGTGTCCTGCAGGTCTGTTTCAGAGCCCTGGATCTTTTCTCACAGAGGCCACTCCTGCAGACCTCTTGCTATCATAACTTTGCACCTACAACCAGCACAATATGGTAGGGAACCAATCAGGGAAAAAACCCAAAACCAACCAGCAAAACAAACAAAACCACCCACCACCACCAGCAGCCCACATTAAGAAAAAAACAAACCCCAAAGCCACCCAACTACCCACACCACACCAAGGTCTACAAAGGAAAGAAGTTTCTCTAACACTAGCAGACACTGGATTGTGCATCAGGCCTTCAGGTAGGTTTACTTCTTAGCAAACTCAAAGTCCAAAATAACCAACTCCACTTCTATTAAGGAAATATCCTCAGGATGCCAAGCAAGTTATTCTGCTGCTTCCAAATATGACAAAGTAGAGGAATAAAACACATTTTTTCTATACATTGAAAATGTACTGACACTAAAGGTTTACAGCACAGATAACTTGGGAAGATTCTCCTTATACAAGTAGTATAATTTATGTACATTTGAACTAGATTGCAAGTCTGTCATTAAACTCCAAGGATTTGTATATGCAGACGTGCATGTGCCTCTGACAGCAATTAACGAATAGCAGCAAATCAGTCCTCATTTAATGCAGTGACTTCTGGAATTAACTGTTCAACATTCACATGAGCTTCTAATACATCAGTTACTTTTCTTCCATTTCAAACCCTAAGCCAAGTCATGTCCCAGCAATAAAAATGGGAACACGGTCTCATCAGCACAGTGCTGGGCACATCTCTTACACTCTACATTATTTAAATTAGCAAAGGTTTCAGTAGGCTATTAAAAAGCAAAAAAAACTGGCAACTATGCTTGTTAAGATGCTCAATTTTTACATAAGATTGGTTTTGGTTATTTTATTGGCAAACTACACTTCCAAAATTCAAACTATGATTTATGTCATGAATCTGCTTCAGATAGGATGTTTGTTCATTTCTAGAATGAGAAAAGGAGAAAAAAAATTACAGGGTACACTACCTTCTGTTCTCAAAAGCACACAAGTTGCTTTGGTTTTACTTAGCATGCCTATAAATTGCATCCTTTGAAACAGGGATTTGAAATTAAAGAGAGACATGTCTTTGTCAGAGAAGCCATCCTTTGCAGTACCCAACAGATGAAGCCTCTGAAAATGACTGTTTCACAAGTTCCTAGGATATAAGCTGACTAGGAAGTACCACATCATTTAGTTTGATCTGCTATAAGACACTGTCCTTTAAATAGTGGTCTCTGTAACTTATTTAGAGCCTAGTAAATTGTGACATCTTAAAACTGAGCACCCATTATATCTCACCACACTTGGGTTCCAGTGGACAATCATCCTGTGATGATTTGAATTTGTCTGACTTCACTTCCCAAGTTTTTCCACTTATTGCAACCTCCTTAATTAAATAAAGTACCTGAAAAAACTCACCTTTTGAAAACACTGACATTAATCAAGTCACCAGTCTTTTTGACTGACCTAGAGATAAAAATCACCCACCTATTTAACAGTGAAACCACAGCAGTTCAAGGAGAATTCCCATTAATGTACTGCAAGTATTTCAGTATCAAGCCATTAATTTGTGTCTCCAAGTTTCTCAAAATACAGCTTTGCATTTTAACAGTCTAAGGGGACCTAGAGTTTGGTCCATTTGCTGGTCCCACTGAGACTGCCCCAATTCCATCCATCTGCACTTCATCTACACATTAAAATACATAATAACAAAAAATAATTTAAAAAACCCAAAACACAACCAAGAAACTGCATGGAAAGCCACCACATACTGTAAGAACCTCAAAACCAACCCACACTAAACCTTCTAATATATTAACATTAATTCTATAAATTTCCAGAGCAAAATTGATAGTTACATTTCATTTCAGCAAAACTCTCCTACTCCTCTCTTCACAGCTGTAAAGTTGATCAAAATATTACCCAAAACTGTTTAACAGAATTCCAGGGGCTCCCAAGAAAAAAGGATACTTGGAGGAACATGAAGTAGAAAAAAAGTAGTTTGAAACTTCAAGCTTTTTACTAAAAATAGTTTCTGCAAGTCATACAGCAGAACAATAATGTACAAAGGTGTGACAAGAGGGCTTGACATGAGCTTGCTGTCACCTACATAAAATATGTTGGTCCTTTTACCACCTAGAGGAATGCAGTCATATGAAACTCAAGCCAGAGAAACATTTATGTCACACTGTCTCATTCTGTTTGCATACAAACACCAATCTATCACATGCACCCAAACAGTGCTTTGAAAGCAAATACTGCTTTAAAAGTGTACCATATGTGCACATTCATTGCTACATTAAAATAAGCCACTATATCACATCGAAAAAGCTTTCAAACAGAAAATACAATCTGTCAAGCAGGACCATCACTTTCCATCCAGCTGCTAGTCCATAAAGTATAGAAACATCCTAGAAGCCAATTATAAAATACTGTGAACAGGTAAGCATCTCAAGCTTCATACTACTCTTTAATTCTTTACAATCCAGCTCTATTTTCAGGCAACTACAGAAGCAATGTTTGTATTTCAGACAGAAAGGGTAAGCAAAAGAGCAATTCCATAATTAGTCCTTTCTCCTTCCAGAACATGTGTGGCTTCAACTCCTAACAAAGCCAATGGCAAATAAGGGTACTCCGCACCTCCTACAAGAGTTCCATTGCGTGTCAGGGTCAGACCCTTGCTTTTAGGCATATTGTTGTAAAGAGCAATTAAGGAAGAAAAAATGACTCCACTTTTCATAACAAATTTAGTTACAAAACCACACTAAAAAAATTGTAGTAGGGATCAGAAATTGCATCTTGAACATTATCACAATACCTCATTTAGATGTGAGATTTTGCTTTCATTTTTCCAGTGGATTTGGTGGAATAGTTCTGGATATAGACCCATGTATGTTATGAGCACAATCTGGCCACAGACTACTTACGATTCAAGCTCAAAGAATACCTGGATGTACAGGTGCAAACAATGGAATTTATTTTAATCTCCACCATTCTAATAAGTGAACATTATTTTTTGTCCTTAAAAGCAGAAAGCAAAGTGATAACATGAAAAAGGATTATTCAAGTTCTTATAGATTAGACTAACACGTCAAGAAAACCAGTAGAAAAATTAATTACCTTATTTTTCATTAAAAAAAGCAGATTTCCTTTCAGTCGGCACCATCTCTCTCTCGGTTCTGTATGCAAAAAAAAGTAAGAGATTAATAAAAACAACCTTTTGTCCTCACATATTAAATGCTTCTTAAAGAAGATGTATTAGTTATAAAGGTCAGAAAAGAAAACCATTAACCAAAAAAAGCCAGCTTCACTCAGCAGCTGCCAATGTACAACACGCTGTTAAATGCCAAATAACTTCCCAGAAGGTTTCTTCTACACTGCAGTTGAGAGAATTGGTGACTGCAGCATACACTCAACTGTTTTTTTCTCTCTCTTTACCTCATTTAGGAGCTGAAACAGCCACTTTAGCATAGAATGGCTTTTGCTTCTATCATTTCAAGAGATGAAATATAACCCTTTTAAGACACAAAGCTTTAGTACTGCATTTAGATTACAATATGCTAATTGGAATTTACAGTTTTCACAAAATAAAAAGGCAAATGAGATCTAAATATTTACAGTCACTGTTATTACTATTTTAATGCACTTTTAAAAAGTGCTTAACCAATAGGAGTAACAACATATTTGTGTTTATACACATGTAATCAATCTCTTAAGAACAGAGAATGTAAGTTGGTGAGTGGGCCAAAGAACTTGAAAAAGTTCTTCATAAACTAGCTCTTCTTAAAAATGCATTTTAAAAGTTACATTCTTAACATATGAAGGAAAATCTTTATACAAGACACATGCTTTTATATTTTTGAGAGGGCACATGAAATCCCACATCTCCAGACAGCAGCCAGTCTCCAATTTCTAGGGAGCTGGAAGAAGAGCTGTACCCTAAGCTCAGTTATTCCACAGCTGCCTCTATGGAACTCTTGTACTTCCCTCAGAACTACCACCACTAGAGACATAATATTGACCAAGGGGGTGCCTTGTTACAGTAATAAAATTCTCTTCTGCACTTGATAATTTAAATTGTTTCAATAGACAACATTTGAAAATCAGAATAGCTTTTTCTCTCCAATGAAGTGGAAGTTTTACATTTACAGGCACTAGGACTTAACTTATCATTCATAACCTGTTTGATCTTTTTGTAGGAAAGGAATTCAAGTTCCTGAATCTTTCCAGACCTACTGAAGCGGGGGAGTAATGCAGAAAAGAATGCAATATAAATGAACACACATCCACCAACTAAAAATCTAACCACAGTTATCAGAGTATGTTGTTTTACAGTATAAGTACAGGACTCTAAGATTAATTCCATCCTCCAGAACCCTGTGAACATCAGAGGAAAAAAATCCTATCACATTCACACTGCAACTTTTTCTAAGAAAAAATCTTTGTACGTAGGATTGGGAAAGTCACTACCTCATAAGGGTGAAAAATAAGCAAGTCCAAAGATTAGTCAAGACTATCCATGACAAGTGAAAAGTATATACATTGACCAAAATAGCTCCAGAAATTACCCTTCTCTCAAGGGGTCATAACCTGATTGCTGAGAGCCAAAAGGATTCACTGGGCAATAGAAGCATCCGACACATGCATAGTTTCCTAAGCACTTCCCTAGAACCTACCACCAATGACCATGACACAGATAATTTGGTCTGTCTCAGGTCAACCTAAGGTTTTTAGCAGCAGCATTTGCCCTCAATATATCTGTAAGGGAAGAAAAAAATACAGAAAATTTTCATGAACATGAGATATTCACTGGACAGGGCTTGATGTGCTGCCTATAGTAAGAACATAGGGAGAGAATCCTGTTGAGGAGCCCCAAAGCAGCCAGCAGTGCATGTTCACTTGTACTCTGTCCAGAAAGTTCACTGCAAGAAACAAGCTATTTGTCATCAGAAAATGTACAAATATTCTGAAAGTGTGGCACAAAATTTTTTCAGCCCCCAAGTCTGCGCTGGTTTTTTGGGTTTTTTGTTTGTTTTTGTTTTGGTTTGGTTTGCTTTTGTGTTTGTTTTCTTTTTCTATTAAAAAAAAAGTAAATATAATCGCAATGAAGATCAACAGGAACAAGTAAAATAAAACTTTTTCCATTGCCAAAATTGTCATATTAGGACTTATTTTACAGCTAAATAGGAGCTATTTCCTAACAGCTACCAAGGGAACAGACATTTATTCAAGCTTACTGGAAAGTGAAAGACATTTTAAAATATGATCATAAAAGCCTGAAGAAATCTACAAAGGAGGTGGGAAGTGAGACACAGAAAACCTATAATGATAAAAGAATACAGGGTTTGGAGGCAAGAGGGGCTGGATATCTAAACTTTAAACCAACTAACAGTAAAAAAAATCCTTCACAGAAAAAAATAATGACAGTGTTAAAGACCAAGTACTGTTTCTCAGGTACAAAAGGATCCTGAAAATTTGAGCCAACTGAAAAGCGGGCTTTAAACTTCTTTATTTAAAAGGTATTTAGGACCACTCAAGCATCAGTAATGAAGGAAACTGAAAACTCAGAGGTGGATGCAATTAGTGAAACTAAGCTGACAGCCACAGACAACATGCACATCAAGCACTAGTAGTTTTCAATGCAAGTCATCTTTACCGATTAATTTTTCATCCCCGACCATTCTGCAAATCTTCAGTTTTCCTTCCTTGTCAAAACAACCTGATGGTCTCCTGGCCACCCAGGCCAGATCTTTAGCATTGAACCTCATGGGGTTGCCAGGGAAGAGGATGAAGATGAGTAAGAGATGGAGAAGGACAAATGGAGAAGCTGAGCAAAATCTGGACAGCAGCTATGTAGGCCAACTGAAACAGTAAAAACAAAAGAAAACAAGATGCCACCATTTTATTGTGGTTTCTACTCTGTTGTGCACTCCAAACACTGTACTTTCTTTCATAGTGTGAGAGCAGTGTAAGCAACAGGGAAAAAACTTCAAAGTTACATAGGTGAAATATCCACACACTGTAAGAAAAAAAACACCGTAATTTAGCTTTCCAGCATCTCTATAACCTTAAGCAGAAGCTGCAATTTCATGCAGTTCATCAGTATAGCTAAAAATATATTTTTGCTACAGGCTTATAAATAACTAGAAAGCTCAAATACACATTCATGGAACAGGGAGAGGGAGGAAGATTGCCTTGTACTTCCATCTCCTTCACAGGAACAATAGGTCTAATAAAATACTAGGTGTTTACTATACAAGTTATCCACCTACTCGAGTATCCATGTTTTGCTGTACTGACACTGAGTAAGACACTGACCGTCTCCCCTTTTGCTCATGGCATACCCTAACAGTTTTCAGTTACTTGGGAACCTTTTCTTCTGTTTTCAAAAAAATCTAGTTGCTTCCTAGAAAAAAAAAACATTTATTACAATTATACCTACCAAACTTAGTAAAAAAAATAAACTTGACACACCTAAGAGATCTTTTTTTTCCCAGAGCCCTTTCTTTGTTCATCTGGAATCGTTTTAAGATTAGTTTCAATAACTGTAGTCTTGACCGGAGGAAGTTGGAAACAGGTATTTTTCTCTAAACTGCAGATAACAGAGCACCATTTCACACTGTTGCAAGGAGGAGAAAAGAAGGGCAGAAAAGTAGTTTTAAATAGATCTCCTTTTTAATCCCCAAAATAGTATCTTTATATCTTAATATCCAACACTTTTGTAAAGGCCTTTCTCAAAAAGAAACCTTTGTATCACCTTTATTCAATCCAGTAACAGAAGTTCGTCAGATGGCTTTTAATGCTTCTACACACTTAAAGGAAATCAACAAATGCACAGTCCTCAGCATATGAGCTTCAGAAGGTACTTTCTGTCTCTAAGTCAGAAACCTTTCTTCAGAGGACAACATTGCCATTTTTAAGTAATGGAAAACTACAACTCTTAACGATTTGTGATCAAACTCCCCTCAACTGTTGAGCTGAATAACAAGCTATATATTCTACAGTGTCTTTCTGTAGGCCATTCCATTCCTACATTTCACTTCATATTCACTTTCTTTGCTCAAGTTTATCCTCAAATCAATGACTGCTGTTGTGCCTGTTAAACTCCAATCACCAAACCACAGCCAATCCCAACAGCACTACCACAGTGAGAGCAGACTAAGCTTAACTATTACTTTGCATAGTAAGAAGACAAGTCTCCGAGCTGTTTTTCTCCTCATTAGGTTGTACATTTCAATGGAGAGCTGCTGTAAAGGTAAAAACTCTTTTAAGTTTCCCTTTCATTATCAAATACTCTTGCAAGCAAGACACAAAACACACGCAAGCAGACTCAATATTTAAGCACCAGAAGACTGCAGCTTCAACTTTTCCATTCTTTCCCACATAGACACCTTTACTCTTAGCATCAGCAGCTATACTAATTTTTATAAGCCCATCTTCATGCCTTGTGAGTCCATTTCATTATTTTCTTGAAATTATAACCTCATAACATGGTAACCACAGAGCCTGACCTACAATTTGTAGCATAGAAACATGCTGCTATGCCCAAAACAAGCTACTGACTCCAACGGAGGCTCCACGCAGGTGCAGTTGGCTGCCTGTGTTTTGGAAATTGAAAGACTACAATTGTGGAAAGATGAGTCATACAGCATTTACAAAACGGGTATTTATCATTCAGTGAAATCTAACACTAGAGGCATATCCAGGACTGAAGACCAAATCAGGGCAGGGGGAGATGCCGGCTTTGCTACACGATACGTGAAACCCAGTCATGATGACCCTTGCAACAGGCTCACGAGGGAATATAATCTGCAGGGACTATGGGACTGGCAGTGTGCCTATTCCTACTAGCCTCCCTATACTGAGGAAGAATTGTCTGGTTTATTTTACAGCCCACAGACTGTACTTTTAACAACAGAGCACACAGTGTTTGCAGTACACCTATTTGGGTTTTGGTTTTTTTAAAAACCCAAAAACAAACATAAGATTAGCAAGCTAAATATTTTTTGTGATCTCCAGCTGTGCAGTGTTTTGCTTTTGGCTGGTCCCCTCTCAGGCAGGTATCTTGCACACCTTGCACACAGTTTATTAGCAGCCTTTTTGTTTTACATAACACAGTCCTAGAAATTCAACTGCAACCTACTTAGCTATCAGTTTGTGACCAAATCCATTCAAGTCATTTTTATAAACGCCTCATAAATCTACCCTAAACAGCATCTTCAGCTGCCTACTGTTACTTCAGACTGTTAAAAATCTTTTTGAGTAGCACAAGGGAAGTGAGACCCTGTAAGTGTAGTCCCAGGTGGAAAAGTCATTGAAGGCCATCAATAACTGAACAAAACCTTTGTTATTAAAGCAATTAAGGCTCCTGCCTAAACTCTAATCATGCTTGAATGTGGTAATTACTGTAATGCATGGACATCCCTACTTCACACAGAACTGCAAAACAGTGAAGACCAGAGAATGAGACAAGTTGTAAATAGCTATTTAAGACAGCTTTTGCTTTCCAGAAGAGGCAAAAACAGAACCAGGCAACCAGAACATTTTGGATTTCTGCAAAGACTATTAGAAAGTCCAAGAGGAGACATGCATATTGATATTGTTACTTTTTCCCCACGGGAGGTGGCACATCCTCTTACACTCATCTGAAGTGGTAAAGGTCCAGAAATTCCTTTTAACACATCTGTGCATCACTTGCTCTGCCTACGAGCCAAAACATGTAAATCGTGGGGGACAGTAAGAGTGGTACACAACAGTTAAAACTCTTGAGACACCATGCTTCAGTACATATAAGCCAGTATCAGCCTTGAAATGCAAGGCAGTTGGGCCAGCAGAGTTCCACAGTGATAATAACCTAGGTGCCAGCACCTGTTCCCTGGAAGTTTACCAGAAAAGCTAAACCAATCTGACCTAAAAGGAGTAAGAGACTGTGGGATTCAAACTTGGGTTTACTTTAGAAACCCACTGACCATTCAGAGGAAAACACAGCCAGCACTGACACAACAATAAAATTCAAGTTAAAACCCTCTTCCCCTCCTCCCTGCCTCCCTCAGCAGAAGCGTCTATCTTCAGCTGCTTCACTGATTCTCCGTGAAAAGGCAAAAAAGACTTTTTAGCTTAAAAATCCACTTCCCATCTGGCTCCATTTTGGAATAGAGCTGTCAGTCAGGGAAAATACTTAGTCATATAGTGCCTTTAAAGGTTTCCTCTAGCTAATCTCTTTCCTAGCATGAACTCTGATAGGAAAGATATTATCTTTGGTTATTTAATACTCATGGTGCAAGAGACAGGCATTATTTAATACTTGTGGTTAGAGAGAGAGGCATGCTGAATCTTTAGTCCCCTGTGCATTTTTCCCTGCACAATCACCACAATCGTAATTTATAAGGACACCAGACCAGTCAATTACTTTGTGAATGGCTGGCAGCGAAAAAGGCAGAGGAGTCTATGTCCTTGGAAGCAATAATTTTAGAACAGATGACAGTTTTGACAGTTCATGGAGCATAAAATTTATTAAGTCTTTGTTGGGTGTCCCCCATCCTCCTGCATTTGCAATTATGTTTTTCATGATCACTTGCTATGGACATGGAACAATCAGAACTATTTTATTCATATGACAGAGAACAAGAGCTAAGACTTACAGTAACTGTTAAGCACCAGACATAGATGCACATTTTTTATTATCACAATGAGATAAATGTACGTTTTTTTATCACTTGAAGAGATAAAAACAGCCTCTTACTGTATTAATAAATACTAGAAGTCAAGTAAAACTAACAGCATCTTGTTTTGATTTTGTGTGGCAAGGTTTTGGTAGCAGGGGGCTACAGGGATGGCTTCTGTGAGAAGATGCCAGAAGCTTGCCAGTGCCAGCCAGCTCCAAGATACACTGTCACTGGCTGAGGCCAAGTCCATCCGCAATGCTGGCAACACCTCAGTGATAACATATTTAAGAGCAGTAGAAAAAAACCCAAACAACCTGTGCAACAGAATTTTGTTGCACAGAGAGTGAGAATATGCAAGAGAAACAACTCTGCAGACACCAAGATCAGTGAAAAAGGAGGAGGAGCTCCAGGCACCAGAGCAGAGATTCATCTGCACTCGTGGTGAAGCAGGTGTCCCCCTGCAGCCCACCGAGGTCCATGATGGAGCACATATCCAACCTGCAGCCTGTGGAGGGCCCCACACTGGAGCAGGTGGATGTGCCCAAAAGAGGATGTGGGCCCTGTAGAAAGCTTGCACTGGAACAGGCTGCCAGCAGGACCTGCAGCCCTGTGGAGAGTTAAGTCCACCCTGGAGCAGGTTTGCTTGCAGGACTTGTGACCCCTGTGGGGGACCCATGCTGGAGCAGTCTGTTCCTGAAGGGGTGCACTCCATGGAAGGGACCCACCCAGGAGCCGTCCATGGAGGACTGTGGCCTGTGGGTGAGACCCCACACTGGAGCAGGGAAGAGTGTGAGGAGGAAGGAGCATCAGAGACAACGCCTGGCTGCAACCTCCATTCCCCATCCCCCTGCACCACTCAGGGGAAGGAGATAGAGAATTCAAGAGTGAAGTCGAGACCAGGAAGAAGGGAGGGGTGGGAGGAAGGCATTTCAAGATTTGGTTTTATTATACCACTCTGATTTGATTGGTAATAAATTAATTTAATTTCCCTGAGTCAGATCTGTTTTGCCTGAGACAGTAATTGGAGAGTGATCTCTCCCTGTCCTTATCTCAAACCCTGAGCCTTTTGTTACATTTCCTCTCCCCTGTTCCATTGAGGAGTG